TGCTTTGGCTTGATTAACTTCGACATCGATCCTGAACTGAGCCACTTTGGCATCGGCTCTTTTGATTGGCCTCGACCACTTCAGATCTAGCCACTTCGAGCTCTTTGGCCAAATCTGCTTTATCTAAAGTGGACAAATCCAACCGACGCTGAAGCTCTTTCATCTTTTCGATCAGCCCCAAAGCATTTTCTTTCGCAAATCGAAGTTGGGCATCGGACAGCTCCAACTGAGCTTCAACGGCTTCCTTTTTTCGAGGCAAGGTTATCCATACACCTTTTAAATTCTTCTGCCTCGGCCAGCAGCGCATCTACTTGTGAATTAAGCCGTCCAATCTGCTCGATCCTCTGCCGAACCTGCAGAATCGGATCGTTAGTGGTTATCTCTTTTTCATCTTCACTATCATGGAGCATTCGGAATACCTACTCAGCCATCTCCTCATGCTCTTCCCGAGCCGCTGTCAAATTTGCTTGAAGGTTTTTCACTAAGAAGCTTGTATGAGTCACTCTTCTCAGTGAGGCTCCGAACTTCGGCATCATGCTCCTCCCTGATTCGGAGAAAAGCCTCGTGATGCAACATTGAAGCCTGCAAACAAAAGGAGAAACATTAGAATTACCTACAACTTTGTGTAAAAGAAGCGGGAAAAATGCCATCAGAAGTTACCCAACTCAAAGCATGTTGGGCCTCGTTGAAAAGATAGGCGGGCCCCACCACATTCATCACTGATTGATCTTCTTCGGTCACTAAGGACCGAAGGTAACTGGCAATTCCCACAGGGGAAGAAAAACTTCGGGTATCCTCGATAAAGCCGGGGACTGTAAAGACGCATAAGATGATCGAGCATTGCATACGTCATGGTCGGGATCGACAAAAATATCAATGTATATCTGATCGAGCTGCTGGGAAATCATATTGTTTCTCGCCACATCCTTTTCCGAGAAACGAGGGGACTATCTGTATACGGTCGAAATAGATTTTGGCCTTCCTACGTTCGATCGAGTTCGAGTGTTAAAAAGTCGGAATGAGATTTTGGGAGTGAGCTCTGAGTTGGTACTAACGAACCTCGAGTCCGAAGGTCACTCGAGGAGGCGTCTCGATAATCCTATCGAGTCCGTGACCGAATCGATCCGCAAGGCACTGCTTCGAGGTCGAAAATGCGCGACGCCCATCTCGAAGGTCGAACTCGATCTAAGACCGAAGAGCCCGACCCAGTAACGAGTTTGAGCTAGTATCGAGCTCACAGACAAGAGCCGTTACAACCGCACCAAGAGAGAAAATCTTGGCTGGAATCAAGGAAGAGACAAGTCATCATGGGCCTTCCACTATATGTTTTATTTTATTATTTTTTGTAATGACCCTCTTCTATAAAAGGGGAATCCTTGTAAGCTATGGGGGGCGGGAACAAAAGATCACTTCTTATATTGATAGTTATCCCATTGTGCTTGTTTTACTTATTCATTCTTTTTGCTTATTATTTTCATTCTCATAGTCAACGATACACATATTTTTATTTTTCTACGCGATTTATATCGAATTGTATCGCATATCCTTAAAACCATACACAAATCTAACGTTATCCGATTTTTCCGGTAAAACAGATCTTTCATATAACAAGCAAAACTCTCTCTTCTTTTTTATAGTGAAGCCGTTAGTCGTTAGGAAGTAAAACAAGCACTTAGACAAAAGCAGTTCCTGAAATAGTGAAGAGTATAGTAGTCTCTGCTTTTCCAGACCATTGCTTCGTTGAGCTCCAAAAAGCACTTTATTTTTTCTATCCTTCAATATGCAGACATAGACTAGTAGGAACTAGGATGTATAGGTTAGGCACTTTGCCACATGTGACTTCTTTTTAATACATAATTAATTTCGCGATTAAATTTGAGATGAGTTATATCCCAAATTTTGTTGGGATAAAATCGCGGTATAACTAACCCCGAGATTAAATATCTCGGGATTGTAGTGTTATTTTTATCCATATAGAAGAGTGGGATAACAATCACGGAATAACTAATCTCGAGATAATTAATTCTGGGATAACTTATTTCCCAAGCAAACGAACCCTAATACTACTACTAATCCTCAGCTTTCGTCTACATCAATATGGTATTATTTTTTTTCACGTTCATGCATGTCTAAAACTAAAAGGAGTACTCTCATCTCTTTGCTTTCCTTTATTTTTTTTCTTGGGACTTCTAGTAGAATTTTACTCAAACTTCCATGCTTGAAATATGCGAATAACTACACTGTAGTGGGATGGATATGTCCTAATTAAAAATTTCGTGTTCGAGCTTTCAATATAAAAAAAAGTACTTGTACGAAGCATTTATACTTTTAATGGACCTAACACGATATGAATTTAGATTAGTCGGAACTCCAATGTGATTACAGGATAATTAAACATTGGTGGAAACCAAAAAAAGGTTAATAACTTACTGTTACTTCTTTGTTCTTTTCCCCCCTTTTTGTAAGCCATATGATATAACATACTATTATAATTAGTGATAACTTTTAAAATTTTGGTAATTAATAAAAAGTGAAAAGTGCTTAAAACTTACAATTATTCTAAGCATATACCACTGTTTAGAATGAAGAGTTTCCTTAACTAAGTAATAAACCTTGAGACACTTTTATATGAAACCAAACATTTTATAAGAACTGCTATACATGTTTTATTAATTCGCCAAAAGAATTATTCAGAAAACTTCAATGATGGACTTTTACAAATAAAATTCAGAGTTCCCCAAAAAAAATCAAGAAATTAAATTTGAGCGCAAACTCAAAGTGTTACAAGTTTCGATTGAGTCCTAGCGATCTCCCGTCTCTATTGTTCAACTGAATCTTACTTAAAAAAAGAAAGAAAAGATGACTCTTTCAAAAATAAATTTTCCAAAAATGTCCAAATGCGATCTTGGAGGCAATAGCTATAGGCATGTGGAACATAGATAATACAAAAATCATACCCTAAATTCTAGGCTGCGTACTTGCTCAACTATTGTCAAAACTTGAACAAGTAACTGAATTAAGGCACAGGAATTTAAAACTTTATTTTAATAATGAAACTGCGCTGGTATTCGTGGATCACTATAAATTATTAAAGGGTCAACTTTTCTAGGAAATCTAGGCAAGTAATAATGAGTTAAGAATAATAGTACTTAAAAATTAAATGTTATAATGCGTGTGTATGTCAATTGATTATCCAGGTAGAATAATCTAGATACATTGCATGGAAAACCCAAGCAGCTTTTGTCCTTTAATGAAACATTATTATTAATATATATAAGCAAATTTGTCTACTTCTTACCCAATAGTGTAAACCATAAAATAAAAAAGAAACAATATTACATAAAAAGTCTTGGAGCTCCAACGGCTGGTCAGAATGCCACGTTTCGTTTACAATGTGCAAGTACAGTGTTTAAGGTTGGATTAGGAGAATAAGACAAACCTTAGGACGTAACACGACGCAATCATTAAGAAATCTAACGGCGTAGAATTAAAATTGTATGGGTTTTGTTAATAATGCTGGTATTAGATTAGTGATTATACCAATCTGAAATATTAATTAATACCAGTTTAACGTGATGATATAGAAAATCTAAGGAGTGTACAAACAGCTTGTCGGGGATAAAGAAAGAAATATTCCAGCTTTTCGTTTGATGAATACCTCATCCACGTTCGTTGTCTTTGTCAAAACCTGGTTTTATCCTTATTCTTGTTTTATTTAATTTGAAGTCATTATAATGTTTCCTGAGTTCATCAGATTCTATTTGAGATCAATACAAAAAATATTAAGATTGTATGTTTCTTTTTTTTTTATTGGTCGTATGATTAATGTCATTTGCCCTTTGAAGGCTCATATTCATTTTATCTATAACCTCACTCTTCAAAACCTTCTTTAACATATGATGTTTACTGAATCTTTGAACAAACATAGAAAACTTCACAACTAATTTCTTTTTATGTTGCTCTGGATCTATCAGAATCATTTCAGACTGTCAAAGTATTGTCCATTTTGTACTAACAATTATTATGCATAGCCTAGGGCCGGTGGCCGTATAATGGGTGAAAATGTAGAACAAAAAAATGGTACTACCGTCAGATATGAAGTGTTCAATAGCAAACATTTTCTAAAATGAAAAATGACTGATTTACCAAATTAATATGCTATAAAATCTATATATAATATAAAAGAGGGAAATTGAGAGCTGATGTGGCATGTCTCACAGGCAAGAATCTCTATTTATCTATTTTCTCAAATTTTTGGACTTTTTTCTTATTTTAAATACAAATTCCTTATTTATCTTTTCTAATTATTATTACTTTATTCCTTTTCTTGTCGTTACTAATTTATTCTTTTTCCTTAAACTGTTTACAACTTGATTGGTAACGTTTAGTCATTCTTCAACTTCTCGCACCTCTTTGAATTCCAGACTATTTGCACCTCTTTGTATTCCTTCTTTCGAATATATTCTTCTTCCTCTTCAATATCTTCCAAAACCAGAACATGGGAATTCCATTATGGAGGAACTCCAAGTTCCTGAGTATTTATAAAAATGTATATTAATTGTTCATAGAAAAGATAACTATAGTCATATGGTGTTTTACTTTTCGAATTAATATTATAATTAGTAGCCTCTTATTGTTTCTGTCTATACCTAGTGAATTAATTAATTGAAAAGTAGTGCTCATAGCTTTAAAACCGTGTGCCAGTTGTATGGGATATGGGAAAACTTCGTCAAAATGAAATATAATTAGAAAATACACTTGTGTATAAGTCAAAACCAATTCAGTTTTTCTTTTTCCGGTTTTCTTGGGCAGTTCACAATTTAACACACTGCTCACTAGAAAGATTATCTCCTAAATGTAACAAATTAGTTAAGAGTTAAGTTATATGGTAAAGATTTTTAACACTATAAAATTATGTCCAAAATGTGACAAAAGAAGCTAGTATTAAGATTCTTTTTTTTTTCATAATTACCTTTTGTCTTGTTTGGGTAGTAGCTTCCTTCTATAAAAGACACATAAACCACTTCTCTCAAATCTCCCTCTCCCAAAAGAAACTATTTTTGTACATCACTTTTGCTAAAAACTGTGAGAGTGTAACTGAGGGGAAAAAAATGGAAGAAATGGCTTCTTTATGGTATTACCAAGAGGTTGGTCATTAATTCCTTCATTTTCTTGTTTTCTCAATTTCTCTGACATCATTCTTTTGAGTACTTCTCTTATCATTTTTCATGCCAGAACTAAAATTCTTCTGTTCTTCATTAGTCTCAGTTCAAGTCCTTTTTTTTCCTCCTTACATTATTAAAGCATTAAGTCTTTTAAATATCAGAAAATCTTTGTTTGGATTTTTGTTCAAGAAAATCCCGGGGAAAATTCATACTTCCCCTGCTTTTCCCTTGACTTTTGACTAATTAGAAACATGTTTCTGTTAAGGACTTGTAAATTTCACTGTTCAAGAAGCTCTTTGTAAATTTCAAGAATTATTCATTGCAGTGCCCAAAGCACCAAATTTCCTGTTTCATATTAGGTGGTAACCAATGTTAAATCATATGCTCTCTGCTTTATTATTGACAAGCAGTAAGTTTTAATACTGTTGGATTTAACTGAGATATTTTGATGAACTTCCACATGTGCACTGTTTAAATGACTGTCACTTCTAAGTTCTAACTTTGAATTACTTGTTCATGGAAAGGTTACTAACAAAATCATCACAGTGAAGAATCTCTTAAAAATAAAATTAAAGGTGTTTGAATTACTCATCTGACTTTTGTTTAACTTGGGTTTTTGATCAAATGTTGCAGACCATTGATGAAATGAGGCAGAAGCTTATGTACACTAATCTTGAACTTGAAAATTTGAAGGTAGAGAAAAATGAAGAAATGAGGAAGAACAAAGAATATGTGAAGCAATTAATCCAACTATTAAACATGGTTTGTCAAGAAAGAGATGAAGCAAAAGATCAACTTCAGAAACTACTCAACAAACTTTCTCATGTTCAAGTTGATAATAGTCCTCATTTGAAAGACAAAAAAGCAAACTCAAGCATTACTCAATCAAACAGTTTCTCTGAAACACACAATAATCAGTCACACAATTCATCCCCAATCGACGCGTTTAATGATGCAGTTTCTTCCCCTGAATTTTCCAACAACAACATGGCTGATTCAAATACAGTCGCCTATGATTGTAACGTTCGATTCTTGGACAATTGTGTTCCTCAATTGGTCCCAAAAGTTGATGAGGCCACATTGGTTATTGACAATCTTGTAAAGGGGAAAACTTTGCCACAAAAAGGGAAACTATTGAAGTCAGTTATTGAAGCAGGGCCACTTCTGCACACACTTTTAGTTTCAGGACAACTTCCTCAATGGCGAAATCCGCCTCAGCTTAAGTCATTTAATGCACCACCAGTTTTAATTAAAGGGTCTGAAGCTGAGATTGCAACACAGAGTTTTTATACAACTTTGAGTTATCCTGTTTCAAGATCATTGTATTCTCAGATGTCATATGGATCTCCACAGATATTGTCAACATCTACGTTAAACTTTGCTAACTCTGGTTCTGTTTCCTGTTTGGAAAATCAGAGAGGAATATCTGTTGGTGCAAATACGGACAGTTTTGTACATTTGGATAAGAGGCAAAGATTGCGGTGAGATAAGTTGAGAGATGAATGCCTAATGCCTATGCTTCCAATTTTTTGTACAAAAAGATTGCTAGGTTTCTTTGGATATACTGATTTTGAGTGGATATACTAGATTAATGTGCGTTCACATTTCTTTTTCTTTACTTATTTTCTTTATTGAATGATTGGCTCAATAGCTTTCTTCCTTCAATTAAAAAAAGGGCCGAGCTAGAGGGGCGGAAAAGGGAGGAGTTTATTGGAAACTCCATTTCGACATAAAATTGCACTATTTATATAAGGTTAAGTCTTTGTTTATGTATATATATATTAGAATTAGATGTTGATTTTCCTTCACTTTTTTGCTTCTTTACTTTTTTATTTTTTTGAATCCCCTTGCGAAATGAGACTAGGTAGAATTTAACTTCTAGAGATTTAGTTCTCTTAAAATCTCCAAATCTATATATATATATTAAAGAAATAAAGTTACCATATATAATTGGCATTGTGGTTAAGCCAAGTGGCAAGCTAATAAATGTCAATAATATATGGTAACTTTATTCTATATTTGGCTATGTTAGTCAAATATTTATATAACTGAATTTAAATTAAATGATAATTTTTAATTTATAGATAAGTTTTTAATTTGAATTAAAATAAAAAATAAATTTATCTTTTGGTATCATACTTAATTCGGTTAATGATCATATGCAATCATGTTAGGAACTTTTGTTATCTTTTCTAATTATTTAGATACTACTTCACCTTTGGCAAAAAAAAAAAACTACTCCATATAACTATAAAACTCTTTCACATCTAAAATCACATAATTAAAGCTCTTTAAAATACTATAGCTAGATTTGCATAAAGAAATTTTTTTTTAAAATAAATATAATATATAGGGTACATGTCTATGTTTATCCGGATAACAAAAAAGAGTTTAAAATTGAATAAAAGTTTACTTACATATATAATGAAGTAAACCAACAAGCAAGAGAAAGAAACATCACAAAAATCAGTCAATACTTAAAAAAAGTTATTTTTTTTTTCTTTTTGAAGAATGTTTGTTTGACGAGTCAATTTGTATAAATGGACATCAAACAAATAGCAAAACTTTGTCTTTACAATTGCTATCATTAATTTCAATTTAGCACCTTCTAGGAATTGAAGGATATAAGCTGAAATCTCTTCATTTAGCTGCAGTCAAGCCAACATTGCAAAGGTATAATACTTTTTTCGTTGAAGAATATTAGTTGTGAATCATTAGATTATATGAAAGGTTTTTTTTCTTGAATTTCAACAAGAGGGATATTAGTTTCTAATTGATAGTTTCTATATCGATTTTCAAGTGTAACAAAATATTTATGTTAAAAAATAAAATTGGTATGACGTGATTTTTTTTTAAATGTAAATAAATTATTTCGAAATGGGATTATTTTTTAAAATGTAATATAATTTTAAAAATAAAAGGATAAGATATTTTTGAATTTTAGTAGAGAGTTTTTTAAATTATTATAATAGAAGTCATATCATGGATAAAATCAAGTAACCAAGATCTTATGGAACATCTACATAAATATCTCGCCAGATTTATTTTTTACTTTTTATTGCTGATATACATAGATGATATACCGACAACACGTGATTATACACATATTATATATAAATTATATATAAATCTATATCTATATCTATATTATATTAAAAGGAGGGTAGCATGCATTGTGGTTAAGCCAAGTGCCAAGCTAAAAAGAAGTCATTTGACAATTTTAGGACAACATTAACAATTAGAAATTATAAATGGAACGTAATTACTGGAAGTAGTTGAATGAAATAGATCTTAGACATAATCTAAATATATCTTAGACAAATCTAATCTATATATCTGTATCTTTATCTATATAATGATCCACTCATAGATTTTATTCTATATTAGCTAGATATATAGAGGTAAAGAATTAATTAAAAAACTATAATAGAAAAAAATAAAAATATAGAAAGATATAAATTGAGATAAACTATGACTATTTATACTTTGGAGTAAGTTAAAATATAAAATAAAACTAAAATTTACTTAAGATATTAAAGATTTGATGACTTTAAAAATTAAAAAATTTCAAGCACCAAAATAAGATCTTACATAAACTGTACAAATTATTTATAAGGTACGAAAAAATTAAATAATCATTAAATATATTTTAATTACAAAAATAATAAAGTCATATTAATATTGAAAAATCAAGCAAATGAATATTTTAAACGTATATTAATATTTTTTTATATAATTAAAATATCTAAACTAATGATTCTAACAAGAATTAATTTTTGGGGTAAGAACAAATCTTAACCACTAGAAAAAATGGAAAATGGATTACTATGCGAAAGAATATACATAAAGTATAACTAATTCCACTTCTTATATTTATATGCTTAAATTTAAATTTAAATAGTGAGTGGATATAGATATCTATATCTATATTATATTAAAAAGAGGGTAGTCAATATTAAGCTAAGTGACTTACTGGAAAAAAAAATGACTTGGTACTTTTAGGACAAAATCTAAAAATAGTTAGCCAAAATTTAATAAGAATTAAGGCAAATCAATTTAATTTAAAGTTGTAAATCAATTCAGATTGATTCCTATTTTTATTGTAAATAGATTCCAAAACTTAAAAAATAAGAATTTCTATTTTAATAATTATTTACTAACCACATGATTTGTTTTCTTCCATTTCATTTTTTTTAATTTTTAGAAACATTATTTAAAAAGAATTATAGTGGAACTATTGTTGTAAAAATTTGAGATAAGACTTTTTTCTAAAATATTTATGACAAGAAATGAGTAAGATAAAAATGGATATTAAATTTAAACAAGCTAATGAAAAGCCACATGACAATGTAATAATATTAAGTGTCGAATAATATATTAGCAACACCAAGGAACAAATAGAGAAAAAAATTAAAAATTTCAGCATACAAAAGAAGAAGGATAAAACTTATTTAAATTTGAGATGAGAAAATTTTGTTTAAATATGATAAGAAATGACATGCATGTGGATAAGGCCATATAACCAAAGTCTAACAAATAAAAGAAAAAATTAAAAGTATGGAATAATAAAATAAATTAGATATAATGTGAGGATATTTATACTAAAAATTACTTTAGAAAATAAAATCAAGTAAGTATACACAACTAAAAAATATTGTTAAAAATTTAAGTAATTTAAGAATTTCAATCAATAGTTCAAAAATAAAATAAATATTTAATTTAATTTTAAAAAATTACATATCTATCTATATTATATTAAAAATAGTAGTGGATAAAAATATTAAATAAAGTCAAAAGTTAATAAAAACTCACATGAAAATGTAATAATATTACATATCAGATAACATTATAACAAAAGTAAGAAAAAATAATTAAAATTCAACTAAAAGGAAAAGACTATTTGAACCTCCGATTAGAATGTTTTTAAAGTTATGATGAGAATGCTCAAAATACAGATATGACAACAAAATTAAAGTCTTGCTAGATAAAGAAGAATAAAAATTGATACCATATTAAAAATTTAAGTATACTAAATAAATATCTCGTGTAGGTAATTTTACTAATTAAAAAAAGCCAAATTTGTATCTTAAAACTAAAGAGAATTTTTTTTAAATTATATGTAATACAAAAATAATTATAAGACATTTCAATATATTTGAAATATTATAAAAGAGCTTATGTATTAATTTTTAGACTAATTCAAAGTTATATTTTAAAATAAAATGTTATATTATTTTGAGTATAGGTAAAATATTTATGTAAAAAGCTAATTAAAATTTCTTAGTAGGGAAGAGAATATATAAAGAGGAGAATAGAGATAGTGCGAGGATACTTATATTTTAAATTTATTTAAAAATAAATAAATTTAATTATTAATAATATTCAAAAAAATTATTGGTAGATTTAAATGATAAAAGAGTTTCGAGTATGAGGGTAATAGTGTAAAAATATATTAAATTTTAAGAATAAAAAAATTATATTTATTGATTATTATTAAAAGGGTAATAAGCACGACATTAAGTCAATTCATAAGCTAATAAAAGATTACATTACAGTATAACAATATTAAGTAAAAAATAATGCAAAAACTATAAGCAAGGAACAATAAAGAGAAAAAAATTGTCTAAAAATATAGAAGGATAAGACTTATTTAAATTTGAGATGAAAAATAAAGTGGTAGTAATAATGTTTTTTAAAATAATATGATTTAATGTGCTCAAACTAGAGAGATCACAACATTATATGTTTAGTATTTTTTAATATTGACCATAAAGCAAAATACAAATGCCAAAATCAAGGGGTTGGGTTATTTCGGATATAAAAAAAAAGTTATCCACTATGAGATTTGAAAAATGGTTTCATGTCGTTCTTCTTAATTAATATCTAATAATTATTTATAATTTCTATATCGAAGGTTTAATTTTAAGGTTATTTGCACATAATCCAAATAACCCAAATCATAATTTAACGTGGTTCATGTCCATGCATCGCGCGAGTACTAATACTAGTAAATGATTAAAGAAGTAAATGTAATGTAGACAACTACTTAAACAGGAAACTACTCTGGGGCGGATCAATAGCCTCAATTAAGGGGCATGTGAACCATGGTTTCACTGTCAAACTAGGTATTTTATGTACATATTTTTTAGAATTAGTCTAATATTATCTGTTAACACTCGTGCTTTAAAAAAATTGAATGGTGCACTTAATTGAATAATGAGTTATTTATCTTGAGAAATTTGGAAATACATTTTTTTCTACTTTTTCTAGTGGTGCACCATGTTCAAGAAATCCTAAATTCGCCTCTGAAACTACTGTAATACAATTAAAAATAATGGTGTATGTATCGTGATATACTTACAGGTTAAGATTAAAAGCGCTCATTACCTTCACGGAACGGGAAGCTAGTCTTTTGAGCTAGAAAGTTGTATGGTATAAATTAATGACTCTGTTGGGGTTCTACCAAAATCAATGCTATCTCTATTCTCTTATTTAATGTCTGAGTATACTTTGACCAAATAATTAACCATTCTTTGGACTCACTCTTTCAATCCATCTTAGGAACACAACAGATAAATGCATGTTTTTGTACTTAACAAATATCATAATAACTCAT